AGAGATTTGTTGTTGGTATTTTATAGAAAACCTAAGGTGAACCTAGTATAGGATTTTATTTGCACGATTTGTTCCAGGGGGGTGCTTACCATGACACCCTTCTGAGGCTGAGAGATTGTGACGTGCCCAAGGTTTCCCAGTGAGTTCCCATGGCTGTGAGAATTCAAACTCTGGGGTCCTAGTCCAGTATTTAAACCATCATTTTAGAGTATTGTCGAAGGCTTTCATGGCTGGAATCACTAGGTTCTTGTGGGTTTTTTCGGGCTATAGAGCCATGTTCTAGAGGCATTTCTCCTGACGTTTCGCCTGCATCTATGGCAAGCATCCTCAGAGGTAGTGAGGTCTGTTGGAATAGGACAATGGGTTTATATATCTGTGGAATGGCTGGGGTGGGGCAAGGAGCTCTTCCCTGCTGCAGTTAGGTGTGAATGTTTAGCTGATCACCTTCGTTAGCATTTGAAGGCCTGCCTGAGCCTGGGAAATCTTTTGTTGAGAGGTGATTAGCTGTCCCTGATTGTTTTCTCTCTGCTGTTTTGCTGTTTTAATTTTAGAGTTTTTTACTACTGGTAGCCAGATTTTGTTCATTTTCATGGTTTCCCTTCCTTTCTGTTGAAATTGTCCACATGCTTGTGGATTTCAATGGCTTCTCTGTGTAGTCTGACATGGTGGTTGTGAGAGTGGTCCAGCATTTCTGTGTTCTCAAATAATATGCTGTGTCCAGGCTGGTTCATCAGGTGCTCTGCTATGGCTGACTTCTCTGGTTGAAGTAGTCTGCAGTGCCTTTCATGTTCCTTGATGCGTGTCTGGGCTGCGTTTGGTGGTCCCTATGTAGACTTGTCCACAGCTGCATGGTATACGGTAGACTCCTGCAGAGGTGAGAGGATCCCTCTTGTCCTTTGCTGAACATAGCATTTGTTGGATTTTCTTGGTGGGTCTGTAGATAGTTTGTATGTTGTGTTTCCTCATCAGCTTCCCTATGCGGTCAGTGGTTCCCTTGATGTATGGCAAGAACACTTTTCCTCTGGGTGGATCTTCATCTTTACTCTCGTGGCTTGTTCTTGATCTTGCAGCTCTTCTGATGTCTGAGGTGGAGGCTCCATTGGCCTGGAGAGCCCAGTTGAGGTGGTTCAGTTCATCTTGGAGGAGGTGGGGTTCGCAGATTCTTTTTGCACGGTCTGCCAAGGCTTTAATGGTGCTTCTTTTTTGACTTGGGTGATGGTTGGAGACATAGCTCATAACTATTTGGTGTCTGGGAAAATAAATTTTCTGTTAGAATTGACGCTAAACCCAGAGATAATGGGACAGACCTGAAAGGTTTAGCACATTGATGTCATTATCTACATTAATCAAAGCTCAAAAAGTGTCCATGCTCTGTCCTTGCAAGCCTTAGCTCCACTACAGCTTTGAAATGGTAGAAAAACCTGTAAAATCGATGAATGTGCTGATAGGCATATGCGCTTCATGCAGGGAGCAGAGCTATTTTGGACTGCACAGGAGGCAAGCAGCGGAAAAATGGAAATAGTCAAGCAAATTTCCCTTCCAAATTATCTTAAGTTCCAGAAAAGAGCATAGCAGTTCTCGTGTTTGTGAGGTTCTTAATGCTGTCACCGAGATTAGCCCCCTTATCCTGGAAGGTTTAATCATCCTCCTAAAGACAGCTCGGAGCCCTTTGAAATATTCACTCATTAAGCCCTTTCACTTCAGCAGCAGGAGGTTTCGGCAGGCTTCTCCTGACGTTGAAATATGAATTTGAGATGAGCTGCTGTTGAGGGCAAATCACCTGTGACCTGGTCTTACATCTGTGGAATACCACAGCTTCCGAGCTCCTTTTTCTCCCCCTTCAGACAACACTCCTGTTCTAGTGGGGTGCATTGAAATATAGAACCCACTTCTCCTATGAAGAGAATGTTCTGCACAGTTCGCTGGCCAGGTTGCCTCTTGGGATTGCTGATTTTGCAATCTCAAACAGCAGTGTATAAGCCTTCTGGTTTCAGTGCCATCCAGCTTGTTTTCTAATTTGTTTTTGCCAATTTCATACACGATGATGGATTTTTGAAATGCATTTATCCTAAGATCTGTTAGCATCATAGAGTTGGAAGGGATCTTAAGGGCCATCCAATCCAACCCTTATCTATAAATAAAAATGTAAAGTTTGTTTGTGGGATTAACAGAACTCAAAAACCACTGGGGGAATTAACACCAAATTTGGACACAATACACCTAACAATCCAATGTATGTCCTTCACTCATAAAAACACTGAAAAACACAGCAGAAGGGACTTAAAAAGCCCCAAAAGCTAAATGACAATACAGAAAAAAGGAAAGAAAGAGGGGAGGGAGGGAAAGAAAGAAGGAAAGGGATAATGGGAGCAAAGAGAGAATGAAGGAAGAAAGGAGAAAAAGAGGGAGGGAAAGAACAAGGGGGAAGGAAGGAAAGTTAGAGAAGGAAGGAAAGAGGGAGCGAAGGAAGGGGGAAGATGTAAAAGAGGGGGGGAAGGAAAGAAAGAAGGAAGAAAAGAGAGACAGAAGATAAAGAAAAAGGGGGAAGGAAGGAACGAGATAGAGAAGGAAGGAAGAAGAGAAGGAAGGAAGGAAAGAGGGAGTGAAAGAAGGAGGGCCAAAACTTACTCCTAGCTTCATATTCTATCTATATAAATAAAAATGTAATGTTCGTTTGTGGGATTAACAGAACTCAAAAACCACTGGAATTGGCACCAAATTTGGACAGCATACACCTAACAACCCAATATATGTCCTTCACTAAAAAAATTGATTTTGTCATTTGGGAGTTGTAGTTGCTGGGATTTGTAGTTCACCTACAATCAAAGAGCATTCTGAACCCCACCAACGATGGAATTGAACCAAACTTGGCACACAGTTCTCCCATGACCAACTGAAAATACTGGAAGGGTGTGCTGGGCAGTGTCCTCTGGTTTTGGAGTTGTAGTTCACCTACATCCAGAGATCACTGTGGACTCAAACAATGATGGATCTGGACCAAACTCTACAAATACTCAATATGCCCAAATGTGAACACTGGTGGAGTTTGGGGAAAATAGAATCTTGACATTAGGGAGTTGTAGTTGCTGGGATTTATAGTTCACCTACAATCACAGAGCATTCTGAACCCCCCAACGATAGAATTGGGCCAAACCTCCCACACAGAACCCCCATGACCACCAGAGTGGGACACAGCAACACATGGCAAGGGGTGGCTAGTGCAATAATACAGAACTAGGCCACTCCTGAAGGCTCTCTATTCATGATCTCAAAAGAAGGATGGATTAGAAATACAGTGTTCCCTCACTTATCGCAGGGGTTGCGTTCCAGGACCACCCGCGATAAATGAAAATCCGTGAAGTAGGGACGCCATATTAATTTTAATGTTTATACATTATTTTATATATATTATATATTATTTTCTTTCCCACACTTCCTTACCTGCCTTCCAGCCCATCCCAAGGGTGCCTGCCTGCCTGCCTGGCCTCCGCAGAACCCGGCAGAGTCTTCGGAGCCCTGCAGACAGCAGCAGGCCAGGGAGGCAGGCCTTCCCCGCTGCACCTCAGGCCGCCACAATTCCGAGATCTCTGGCCTCCACTGGACGTAAATAACCGCTTTGAGTCCCCCCCGGGGTGAGAAAGGTGGCATATAAATACTGCAAATAAATAAATAAATAAATATGTTGTTGTTCATTCGTTCAGTCGTTTCTGACTCTTCGTGGCTTCATGGACCAGTCCACGCCAGAGCTCCCTGTCGGCCAGCACCACCCCCAGCTCCTTTAATCCAGTCACTTCAAGGATGCCATCTATCCATCTTGCCCTTGGTCAGCCCCTCTTCCTTTTTCCTTCCATTTTCCCCAGCATCATTGTCTTCTCTAAGTTTTCTTTTTTCTCATGATGCGGCCAATGTATAAATAATAAATATATTTTATAGTAATATTTTCAAAAACCCGCAAAACAGCGAGTCTGCTAAAAGTGAACCACGAAATAGCGAGGGAACACTGTATTTCGGTGAAATTAAATAAATAGATTGGATGTAAGTTTGCTTTCTCCTCCCTCGACTCTCTTTTCCGTTTTCCCTTCAGAAGTTGCAGTGACATTACGTAATCCTGTAACATGACTGCATCTAAGCAAGTGAAATGAAGGGATTCACAGGAAGGGGAGAGACTGTTTTATTTTATTGCAATGTATGTCGCTGGAAGAATTGATGCAAAACTTTCCCAGTGTGTAAATGTCTGGGCAGAAGTGTCTGAAATGTATTGTTGAAGGCTTTCATGGCCGGAATCACTGGGTTGTTGTAGGTTTTTTGGGGCTATATGGCCATGTTCTAGAGCAATGATGGGCAACCTTTTGAGCTTGGTGTGTCAATAAAAAAACCGAGCATAACTCGAGTGGGGTGTCACTTCGAGAAAAAACCCATAATTTCATGATATTTATAGTATAATAACAAAAATATATTATTGTAATATATAACTGTATTTAATAAACCAAAAACTAATTATTTAACTTACCTGCTTTTTCTATAATGCCATATATCCCGGCATTATAGAAAAATGCTGGTGTAGGAGCCGAGGATGAAATGTCCTTCTTGGGATGTGGCCCCATCTTCTCTGTATGCGGCCGCATGCGGCTGTGTGTCATCGAAAATGGCTACGCGTGTCAGTGCTGACCCAGGCTATATGGTCATGTTCTAGAGGCATTCTCTCCTGACGTTTCGCCTGCATCTATGGCAAGCATCCTCAGAGGTTGTGAGGTCTGTTGGAACTAGGAAAAAGGGTTTATATATCTGTGGAATGACCAGGGTGGGACAAAGGACTCTTGTCTGCTGGAGCTAGGTGTGAATGTTTCAACTGACCACCTTGATTAGCATTTGATGGCCTGGCAGTGCCTGGGGCAATCTTTTGTTGAACATGGCCATATAGCCTGAAAAAAACCTACAACAACCCAGTGTCTGAAATGTTCGAATGCTGTGTCCCCAACTTTTCATTCTTCCTCCTCCAGGCACAAGTGGCGTTCCTTCAGGGGGAAAGGAAGGGCCAAGAGAATCTGAAGACCGATCTTGTGCGGAGGATAAAGATGTTGGAATATGCTCTGAAGCAGGAGAGGTGAGTTCTGGAGACAGAATAGATATTTCCATCCATAATTGAGAGAGGCCTCTTGGTCTTTCAGCCTGAATGCTAGGAGCACTTCACTTTGTTATGGTCTAAAGCAGGCATGGGCAAACTTCGCCTTCCAAGTGTTTTGGACTTTGACTCCCACAATTCCTAACAGCCTATGGCTGTTGGGAATTGTGGGAGTCGAAGTCCAAAACACCTGGAGAGCTGAAGTTTGCCCATGCCTGGTCTAATGCCATCCAGATATGACTACGTGGCCATCACTTTGCAGCATAAGTAAATATTTGTTGCTGTGTTTATTTCCTGCATTTCTTCCTAAGGTTCTTTTCTCTATTCCAGGTCAAAGTATCACAAGCTGAAATTTGGCACCGACCTAAATCCAGGAGAGAAGAAACCTGATACATCAGAACCAGGTATGAAGATGGTTTATTCTTCTGAGATGCCTGTAGATCTCTAGTCTCTAGAAGGAACAAATTATCTTGTATAATGAACTCAGAGGCCACTATATAGATTTTTTTTTTTTTTTTAAAAAACCACTTTGAAGAAGGTTCTTGGGCAGTAGTCAAGATACTTTGAGTATCCTGGGAACTTGAGTAATTTTGGAGACCTTCTCTTAGTTGTAAGAGACAGAACTAGAGTGATTTGCTGTGGTCAGGAGCACAGGACCTTTGCAAATGTGGAAAAACATAGAATCATGAAGTTGGGAGAGACCTCATGGGCCATCCAATCCAACCCCCCTGCCAAGAAGCAGAGAGATAAGAATGAAAAAGGTATATTTGTATGGGAGGAGCACGTAGGGGACGAAACAGTGGAGACAGGCCTACAAAAAGGTGGAGGGAGGTGCAATATGAGGACAACGAATTATGGGAGAAACAACAGGGAATAAGTATATGGTCACTCTACAAAGGCACATCAATAAATAAATAAAAATAAATTATGTAGCACAGTAGTTGGAAAGGTGCTTATCATACTGCTAATGGCGAATGAAAGCCACTCATTGCTATGTTATGTTATTTTATTTTACTGTGTATGATTTTGCTTTATCGTTTTTGTACTCATATGTTGTATGTATTTTACTGTGTTGTTATTGTGTTTTGGTTTTACCTTATTGTAATATGCTGTTGGGCTTGGCCTCATGTAAGCCGCCCCGAATCCCCATTGGGGAGATGGTGGTGGGGTATTAAATAAAGTTTATTATTATTTATTTATTATTATTCCATTGTTTTGTTTTTTGTACATAGTCTCCAATGGACCAGTGGAGCCCCTTTCCTTGGACAGCAACCAATTTATGTGGAAAGAAGGCCGCCAGCTCCTGCGTCAGTGAGTAGAGTTAAGGATTGTACTGTTGGGCTGTAGCTCAGCAGTCGGCAGGCATGGGCCAACTTGGGCCCTCCAAGTGTTTTGGATTCCAACTCCCACCATTCCTAACATCCTCAGGTCCTTTCCTTTTTCCCCTCAGCCGCTTAAGTGGCTGAGGGGGAAAAGGAAGAGGCCTGAGTGTAGCGAAGGAGAGAGACTATTTCCTCTTTAAAAACCTCTTTGCTACCTTATGCTGATTTAGTTTCTCCTTTTATATTGGCTGGGACTTTCTGTGTACTGTTAAACCTTTGTACTTTATATCACAGGCAATGAAACACTCTTGTGTATAACAAAATAACACAGTGTATTTCTAACTTCTGGCTCCAACGCTTGTGGTTACATTTGTGTTTTGTTGCAATCTTGAGGCTTACAGTCAGTATCATTTACTTGGTTAACTTTTCCTGAATAAACTATCAATGTTTCACATTCACAAACATGTTACCTGCTTTACACACTCTTGGCTGAATTATATTTTGAACTAAGGCAACACTAGCCTTCTTTATGTTCCTTAAAACTCGAGCTCTATTTAACTAACTGCTTCTCTATATCAGAAGTCTTTAACACATCTTTATAACTGCTTATTTCTATCAGGCACTCAAAAACCAACTCTCCTCTTCACACACAGATTCCTAACTGTCATTTTCAAACTCCCTCACTCTAACTGCCTCTTTCAGAACCTTGGCTCCGCCCCTTTGGAATGTTCAGCTCTGCTCTCCCCAACTGTCATTTTGGCCTAACAGCCTTTTCAAATCCTGGGCCTACACTAATCTGCATATGACCAATCGGCTTCCCATATGCAAATGAATCCTATCTCTGCTGTTGCTACCCTGTCTGTGCCTATTCTTCCCTATCTGCCATATGTAAACATAGAGCTATACACCAAAACTTTAACATAGAGTAGCAATTTCACTACACCTGAGGCTGTTAGGAATGGTGGGAGTTGAAATCCAAAACACTCGGAGGGCCAAAGCTGGCCCATTCCCGCCATAGCTTCTCTAGACAGATTACCAATTGCCGGCCAGCGTGAAACTTAAAGAACCCTTTCCCTCCCCTTTTTGACTGGATTCTCCAGGTACCTGGAAGAGGTGGGCTACACAGACACCATCCTCGACATGCGCTCCAAGCGGGTTCGCTCTCTGCTGGGACGCTGCTCCATGGAGTTGAATGGCGCGGCGGAGCCCAGCAGCTTGGGACGGGGCCTGCCTCGGGGGCCCCTGGCCTGAATGGAGGAGAATCCCTCCTTGTCAAGCAGATCGAGGAGCAGATTAAAAGGTGAGCGGCAGCCGCGTTGGCGTTAGGACGGTGGGGTTCGTGAGCGAGAAAGAGAGTGCCCACTCTCTCCATACGTTCCAACAAAGTGTGACTCTTCTTCTTTCTGGTGCACCCACTCACTGCAGACTTTTGGCAGGAATGAAGCCCCGATCAGCCTCTTTGAGTCCTAATGGAGTTTTTATTGATGTTTCTTACATTGTGTTGAACAGACTGTGCCTGCCAGGAGAGATACAGATTTACTGGAAATGGTGAAGCTGTGGGAGAAAAGCTTTTTATTTGGGGGGTGGGGGGGTGGAAGTTTTGCAAAAATTGAAAAAATGCAATCTTAGCAGTTTCTTAAAGGCAGAAGGTCACTTTCTTTCGTTGTTACAGTTGCTTGCTTTCAAGTCTTTTTCGACTTATATACTGTGCCGTCGCTGCCTGGGGATCTATAGTGAAAAAACAAGGACGTGGCAGCGTTTCCCCAGGAGATCGGTTCTTGCCTTCCTTTAGAGAACTAGAACTCTCGAGGATCAACAAGGCACTATAGATAACTTGAAATAGGCTTTCTTGTTCACAAAGAGTTATCTTTCTAAGGCATTAAACTTGATGTTCCAAAAAGGATAAAGAAAATATACATTACAGTCTCTGGAGTCTTGGGTCCAAGGAGTTTTCCAGCTGAGTAGCTTCCAAGTTCCCTCTTTCTCAATGGCTATGAAGTCGGAACATTCACAACCCCAGTCCAATGACCTATATTGAAGGCACAAAGTCTTCCTCTTGATGCCAAAGGACTGGTTTGAAGGTGCTTAAGATTCCTCAACGTCGTCCAGATGAGCTGGGCATGAAGTATGAATCTTAAGGGTATAAACCTGAGAATTGGTGGTAAGAAATGACTTGACCAAGGGCTTTGAGCCAAGCCTTTCGCACATCCATCTGTTGAGCTTTTGGTGGTAAGAATGAAGATGAAAGTATTGTTATTCGAAAGGCTGAACAGGGCATAGGGTTACAGCCTGTGCTCGACGGGGTTACACTCCCCCTGAAGGCTCAGGTTCGGATTTGGGAGTGATCCTGGACTCATCACTGAGCCTGGAACCCCAGGTCTCGGCGGTGGTCAGGGGAGCTTTTGCACAATTAAAACTTGTGCGCCAGCTGCGCCCGTACCTTGGGAAGTCTGACTTGGCCACGGTGGTCCAAGCTCTGGTTACATCCCATATAGACTACTGCAACGCTCTCTACGTGGAATTGAACCAAACCTGGGACACAGTTCTCCCATGACCAACAGAAAATACTGGAAGGGTTTGGTGGGCATTGTCCTTTCCTTTTGGAGTTATAGTTCACCTACATCCAGAGAGCACTGTGGACTCAAACAATGATGGATCTGGACCAAACTTACCACAAATATTCCATATGCCCAAAGAACACTGGTGGAGTTTGGGGAAAATAGACCTTGCCATTTGGGAGTTGTAGTTGATGGGATTTATAGTTCACCTACAATCACAGAGCATTCTGAACCCCACAAACGATAGAATTGGGTATATATAATAATAATAATGATAAAACGTTATTTATGCCATGCTCCATCTCCCCCAGGGGGACTCGGTGCAGCTTACATGAGCCATGCCGATCACTACAGTACACACAACATAACACAAAAGCATAACAAAAACCAGAAAACAAAATACATAAAATGCAAAACCAATATAAACAAATGAACATAGAATAATAACAGCAAAACACTGGAGTATGACTAAGAAAATAGTTTAGTTTACACAATTTTTCCTTAGTGTGAAGCAGCAATAATGTATTCATTGCAAGGAAACAAAGACCAGGAATTGTAAGGAACTGATCTTCAGTTGTTCAGGGGCTGTGAGTTTTAAAGGCTGTTTTAAGTGTATTTGTTGTATTTTAATCTGTTTTTACCACATTGTTTTTTTTTATTTTTGTATTACACTTTTTAAACTTGACTAAGTATAGGATTGTTAGCTGCCTTGAGTCCCCACAGAGAGAAAGGCAAGGTGTAAAGTGAATAATAACAATCATCATCATACATTTTTTTAAAAATCCTTTTACAGCTTTTTATTTTTTTAGAAATTATGTGAACATTGTTAAGACTTGACATAACCATGACATTGATTGGCATCTGTAAACCAGGAATGGCCAAGTTGGTTCAAACTGAGGAGAAAATGGGCACCCAACTCTTTTGGGAGCCCTATCACCAGACAAACATCCGTCATTTAAAAAATGCATAATGACCATTCCAGATGAGGGTGCTCTAGGTCTCTGACTAGAACTTCCCAATGTGAAACTGTCCTTCTTTTTCAGGAATGCTGGGAAAGAGGCCAAGGACCGCATCAGCAGCACAGTGATGGAGAAGATCCCCTTCTTGCAGGGCTGCGAAGAAGAGGACAGCGACGAAGAGGAAGACCTGGAAAGCCTGCCTTTGGAGACGCAGCGGCAGCACAAGAAGCAGCGAGTAAAGGTAGGCTTTCTCACCCTCCGTCTTGAAAAAGGGAATTTTCGGTTTCACTCGCCTTCCCACTCAGTAAAAGGACATTTCATTTCTTTCCTCCTCCGCAATTACATTTTTATACTTGTCAATCAAAGAGCTATAAAAGCACTCTTGAGAAGATTCTTCTCCAATTTTGCCTCTCCATAAATCAGGGGAAAAGGAAAAGAGAAGCAAAAGGCTCCATTTATTCTGTGAACGCCATATTTTGTCTGTGGCAGACCTTTAAAAAGAGAATGACTAGACCAGGGGTCCTCAAACTAAGGCCCAAGGGCCGGATACAGCCCTCTAAGGTCATTTACCCGGCCCTCTCTCAGTGACTTGAAAGCACAAACAACAACAACAACAATCCTATCTCATCAGCCAAAAGCAGGCCCACACTTCCCATTGAAATACTAATAAGTCTATATTTGTTAAAATTGTTCTTTGTTTTAATTATTGTATTGTTTTAAAGTGTTTTTTACACTACAAATAAGATATGTGCTGTGTGCATATTCATGGTTTTTTTAAATTATAATCCGGCCCTCCAACAGTTTAAGGGACTATTTGCCATCAAATTTTTGGTTGGTACAACAGAAAACCGTTTGCCATTTGGAGGGAAAATGAGCTCCATCGTGCCAGCTCCTGCTGTTAATGGCACAGGAATGGCCTGATAAGGAGAGTTCTGTTTTCTGAAGGGAATTGCCATCCATTTGCAGAGAATTGTACTGTAGCCTCTGTTGGCAACTCCCTCGACGCAGTGGGAGCTCACACATTAGTCATAGGCTTAAAATCTGTAAGCTCAGTTTTCAGGGGATAATGTCACTCGAGTATTTTGCCAATTCTCCCCTTTGAACATTTTAATGTTTTCCCTATCAGAGTTGAAAAAAATAAAAATGGGAATTGGAGCTTGCCAACTTCGCCCTGATGACGTGTTCACAAAGGCATTTATCGCTTTATGATGATTTGGGCTCGGCCCGAGATTTATTTATTTATTTATGACATTTATATGCCGCCCCTCTCACCCCGAAGGGGACTCAGAGCGGCTTACAAATCAAAAGTAAATACAATATATTATTATCATAGCACAATATTAATATTATATATTACATTGTACTATAATATTATCCTCTAATATTATTAGTAATATTACATTTAATATAAAATATATAATTATAATATCATATTATTATTAATAATATATTGTATTACATTATATTATCAATATTATATGTATATACAATATAGTATATTATATTATAAGCTTTATAATATTATCAATATTACATGTATATACAATATATTATATTATTATCATAGCACAATATTAATATTATATATTACATTGTACTACAACATTATCCTGTAATATTATTAGTAATATTACATTTAATATAAAATATATAATTATAATATCATATTATTATTAATAGTATATTGTATTACATTATAATATTATCAATTCATGTTTAATTCCATTGTACTGTATATGTTTACATTTTCATTATATTGCTGTGAGCCACTTTGAATCCCTTATTTCAGAGAGCAAAAGTGGGATAATAATAATAGTAGTAGAAGAAGTAGTAGTTTTGGAACACAATACACCAGGATTGTCGAAAAGAAAACGGTTTGGATTATTGATGTCTTCATACCGGGTGACAGTCGCATTGAGGGAAAACAACAGGAAAAACTCAGCCGCTATCAAGACCTCAAAATTGAACTGCAAAGGCTCTGACGACATCAACCAGCCCAGGCGGTCCCAGTGGTCATTGGCACACTGGGTCCTGTGCCAAAAGATTTCAGCTGGCATTTGGAAACAATAAACATTGACAAAATCATGATCTGTCAACTGCAAAAGGCCACCTTACTTGGATCTGCGCACTCATTCGAAAATACATCACACAGTCCTAGATGCTTAGGAAGTGTTCGACTTGTGATTTTGTGATACGAAACCCAACATATAGATCTCGTTTGCTGTGACATACTGTGTTATTGTGTCAGTAAAATAATAATAATAATAAGGAATTGGTGGGACCACAAGCCTGAAAAAAATCACAGAAAATGAACATGTCAAACTACTCTGGAACTTCTGAATTCAGACTGACAAAGAGTTTTGTAGCACAATACTCCTGACCTCACGATCATGTTAAAAAACCAAGTATGGATCGTCGATGTTGCAATCCCAGGTGACAGCAGAATTGAAGAGAAACAACTGGAAAAGCTGACACGATATGAGGATGTAAAGATTGAACTGCAAAGACTCTGGCACAAGCCAGTAAACAGGGTACCAGTGGTGATCGGCACACTGGTGCAGTGCCTAAAGACCTTGGCCTGCACTTAAACACAATCGGAGCTGACAAAATTACCATCTGTTAACTGCAAAAGGCCACCTTACTGGGATCTGCATGCATTAGTCGCCAATACATCATATAATCCTAGACACTTGGGAAGTGTCCGATGTGTGATCCAATACAACAGCCAGCAAAGTGATCTTGTTTGCTGTGTACTAATCTTTTTGTGTTAATAATAATAATAATAATAATAATAATAATAATGCAAAGACCCTGGCACAAACCAGTAAAAGTGGTCCCAGTGGTAATTGGCTCACTGGGTGCAGTGCCTAAAGACCTTGGCCTGCACTTAAACACAATTGGCGCTGAAAAAATTACCACCTGCCAGCTGCAAAAGGCCACATTACAGCGATTTGCGCTCATTAGTCACCAATATATCACACAGTCCTAGACACTTGGAAAGTGTCCGACGTGTGATCCAATACAACAGCCAGCAGAGTGATCTTTTTTCATCTTGTTTTGTTTCAAATAATAATAATAATAATAATAATAATAACAACAACGTGTGATCCAATTCAACAGCCAGCAGAGTGTCTGCTGTGAACTCATCTTGTTGTGTTTCCAATAATAATAATAATAATAATAATAATAATAATAATAATAATAGTGTGTGATCCAATACAACATCCAGCAGAGTGTCTGCTGTGGACTCATTTTGTTGTGTTTCTAATAATAATAATAATCATCATCATCATAATGTGTGATCCAATTTAACAGCCAGCAGAGTGCCTGCTGTGGACTCATCTTGTTGTGTTAATAATAATAATAATAATAATAATAATAATAATAATAATTGCACACAGTCCTAGATGCTTGGGAAGTGTTCCACTTGTGATTTTGAATCCAGCATATAGATCTCGTTTGCTGTGACATACTGTGTTTTTGTATCAGAATAATAATAATAATAATAATAATAATAATAATAATAAATAGAGAAGAAAGTGTTTACGGCAGGCACAGGCAAACTGTGGCCCTTCAGGTGTTTTGGACTTCAACTCCCATAATTTGTAACAGCCTAGCAGCTGTTAGGAATTGTGGAAATTCAAATCCAAAACACCTGAAGGGCCAAAGTTTGCCCGTGCCTGAGACAGTTGCTGGATCTTACAATTGTTTGTCCATTCCTGACCAAATTATGCTTCTAAAATGCAACTTTCTTTTTTACCCAATCCCAACCTGTCCCTTTTTTGTGTGAGCATTAATGGCTCAAAAAGGCCTTGACGGCTCTGTTCTCTCGGCAGCTCACCAATAAGCCTCTGATGCCCGAAGTGGAGGACGAAGATGACGACGAGGACTCGGAGGATGCGCTGAGCGAGTTTGACTTCCTGGGCTCCGGGGAGAATGGCGAGGGCTCTGGGGACACGCGAAGGGCCGGCGATGGTAACGAGCTTGGTAATGACAGAGCTGAGTCTCCTCACATCTCTTCTGCCTCTGATGGGTTGTCTCAACTCAAAGTAATGTCTTTGAGATATCTCCCAAAGGATGTGAGAATGTCAGCATGCCAGAATACTGTGTCATAAAATGACTGTGATTGATGCAACTGTTGTCACTTTGCAGCAGGAGTTGAGACCGTTGGGCTTCATCAGAAGACCAAAGGTTCCTCTGTCCTTGGACTCAAGGCAGCTTACCCTGATTAGAAGGCCCTTGTGGGTCCTTAGAATCATAGAGTTGGAATAATAATAAAACTTTATTTATACCCTGCCACCATCTCCCTAAGAGGACTCGGGGAGGCTTACCTGAGGCCAAGCCCAACAACACATCAGTAAAAACAAAACAGCAAGCAAATTAAACAGTATAATTAATATAAATCACATATAAACAATAACACACAGAATTTAAAACCTTATGGCCGGGCCAGATGTAATCAATTAACAATTATTGGATCAAAGATATTTAAAGAATTTATTGATACGTGTTAAAGAAATTTATTATAGATTGGTTTGGAAATGGTACTTAACACCAGTGAAGATTGCAAATATTAATAGAAATGCCAAAAAAAATTGTTGGAGAGGTTGCCAGGAGGTGGATACATATATACATATGTGGTGGCAATGTAAATACGTAAATGAATTTCGGGGGAAGGTATTTGGAGAGATAGAAGCTATAATGGATATGAAGATAGAGAAAAAGTGCAAGCATTGCATTGTTGTCGCTATATAATGTTAAGAAATTGAAAAAAAACAGAAAGATGCAATAGATAACATGTTAACCGCAGCAAGATTACTGATAGCGAAGAATTGGAAAGGTAAAATAAATATATCAATTGAAGAATGGTATAAAGAATTATGGAAAATAGCAATAAATGATAAATTGACATGTAGGTTAAGAGTCAGGAAAGGGGTATGGAAAGAAAACAACTTTGATAAAGTTTGGGGAAAATTTATTGAGAATGGCTTAAAAGAAGTAGATGGGAAATTACCTCCACAAGAAGAAATGGTATTTTGGAAAGAGAATGTAAATTGAAGTGGCTCGGAAGGGGGGGGGGGCACAGAGGTGAAAAAATATATATACAAGGTATATATACACTTATAGTTGATGTAATGAATTAAGGATGAAATATAAGAGTATTGAAGGTATTGATGTATTGATGTATTCTAAGAAAACATATTAATTTTTTAAAAATAAACACTGCGTGAACAGAGGTAGGATGTATCTAAGCAGGAGGGTTTTAAAAGAAAATGTAGGGAGACCAACTCAACGGGTAGTAAAGTGCTTCTGAGGACAATTGCAGAGAATTAATCAGAGCAGGGCATTGTTTCCTTATTCAGTGAACAGCCATGTTTTCAGGCTCCTCCTAAAGACTGCCAATGTGGGGTCTTGTCTGATATTCTTGGGGAGTGAGTTCCAGAGTCAGGGGGCCACCACAGAGAAGGCCCTCTCCCTCGTCCCCACCAATAAAGACTGCCAATGTGGGGTCTTGTCTGATATTCTTGGGGAGTGAGTTCCAGAGTCAGGGGGCCACCACAGAGAAGGCCCTCTCCCTCGTCCCCACCAATCGGGCCTGCGAAGGGGGTGGGACATTCTCTCCTCCCCAACTTTCCTCCTTCCTCTTGCAGAAACCCGGAGGGTGAAGCTGCAAGGCATGCTGGCCGACCTCCGAGACGTGGATGGGCTTCCTCCCAAGCCAGCCATGCCCCCAGCCATCCCTGGTCAGCCCAGGCCCCATGAAGGTAATGGGGCTTTGGGGCTTCCTGTTCCCTTTTTCCTGTCTCCTGCTCGTCCTATTCTCTGTCCTTTTTCTTTTGCCACATTTGTGAAACATTTTCCTTTCCTCCTTCCCCTAAAAACAGGGTCACTGGGGTTCTCCTCAGATGTGTTTATAATGGACACAATCGGTGGGGGAGAAGTAAGTCTGGGTGACCTTGCTGATCTCACCGTCACCAACGACAATGAATTGAGCTGTGATGTGAGTATTATTATTATTATTATATTTATGTTAATTTATTTATATGTTATTATATTTATTCATAAGGGCCAGTCCTTGGGGAGGTGTGGGTGGGATTGGGGGGCTGTCAGTTTTAAAGGCATTTTAAGTGTATTTTAAGGGCCAAGCTTTAGCACAGTAGGTTAAGCGCCAGCTGCAGTAAATCTTGCCAATTGAAAGGTTGACCATTGAAAGCCCGGGTCAGATTGAGCTCCTGACCTTTAGCCCAGCTTCTGCCTACCTAGCAGTTTGAAAACAGCAATGTGAGTAGATAAATAGGTACCTGTGTGGGGTGGTATTTAAGGTGCCCATAAGGAAATGCCAGAAAAATGCTGGTGATTTGATCAAGGAGGAAATTTACGAACAAAGCTCTTCAGCAGGGAAAGTGGAGCGACAGGATGGGAAAGCTATATATATATATATATATACACACACACACACATATACATATATATATATACACACACACACATATACATATATATATATACATACACACACACACACACAAATATACACACACACATATATATATATACACACACACACACCTCTATGTACAGTTGTGTGTCTTGTCAGTGTATAATGGCATTGAATGTTTGTTATATATGTGTTCTGTGATCCACACTGAGTTCCCTTCAGGGTGAGAGTGGTAGAATATAATTACTGTAATTAAATAAATTAAATTTATTGTATTTTAATTTGTTTTTACCGAACTGTTAGTATTTAGTTGTTTATATATATATATATATATGTATATATATATATATATATATATATATGCTTTTTAAACTTAACCAAGTATGGGATTGTTAGCTGCCTTGAGTCCCCACAGGAAGAAAGGCAGGGTATACATACAGATAATGTTAGTAACAACAATAACAACAATGATACCCTGTTTTTTCTCTCCGCAAGGAGACTCGAAGCAGCCTTGAAAATGGTGCTTCACCTTCCGTCTCCCTCACACCACCTTTTTCGTCCCCTTTCTCCTCATCAGCTTGCAGGATAACAGCTGTAACAGGAAAACACTATTACCATAAGAAAAATAGTTCTTAATTTGGGGTTCATGGGCTCTTCCCAAGATAGATTTCAGGGGGTCCATGAACTTGGATGGGAGAAAAAGACACATCACACAGCACTTCACGTTCTACTCACTAGTGAGCTGGTGCTCAACTTGTGCATCCTGTTTGTTTTTGGATGCTCTGCTTTATTTTACAGTAGTTTTTCCTAACAATAATAATAAATATAAGCTTTTTTTAGTCTCTTTTTGAGGAGAGAAAAAGCAAGGTAATAATAATAATTAAAAATATATGCTGCTCTGAGTCTTTTTTGGAGAGAAAAAAGCAGAATAATAATAATAATCTATATAAATAAAAATGTAATGTTCGTTTGTGGGATTAACATAACTAAAAAACTACTGAACGAATTGACACCAAATTTGGACACAAGACAGCGATTGGGCCAACAAGTGACCATCACTCATAGAAACACTGAAAAACACAGTGGAAGGAACTTAAAAAGCCAAAATCATAGAATCATAGAATCAAAGAGTTGGAAGAGACCTCATGGGCCATCCAGTCCAACCCCATTCTGCCAAGAAGCAGGAATATTGCATTCAAATCCCCCCTGACAGATGGCCATCCAGCCTCTGTTTAAAAGCTTCCAAAGAAGGAGCCTCCACCACACTCCGGGGCAGAGAGTTCCACTGCTGAACGGCTCTCACAGTCAGGAAGTTCTTCCTCATGTTCAGATGGAATCTCCTCTCCTGTAGTTGAAGCCATTGTTCCGCGTCCTAGTCTCCAGGGAAGCAGAAAACAAGCTTGCTCCCTCCTCCCTGTGGCTTCCTCTCACATATTTATACATGGCTATCATATCCCCTCTCAGCCTTCTCTTCTTCAGGATAAACATGCCCAGCTCCTTAAGCCGCTCCTCATAGGGCTTGTTCTACAGACAGAAAATACATTACAGTGCACATGCAAAACCATATATATACATGCAAACACACATATACACAAATATATACACACATATAAACACACACAAAACACATATACACAGACTGGGACACAGCAACACTAGTAGTAGTAGTAGTCGTAATAATAATAATAATAATAATAATAATAATAATAATAATAATAATAATCTGCTTTGAGTCTCTTTTTTAGGAGAGAAAAAGCAGTGTATTATTATTATTGTTATTATTAGTGGTGGTAGTAGTAGTAGTAGTGGTGGTGGTGGTGGTGGTGTAAGGACACATGGATAAGTGATTCTTCCTCCTGCAGCTTTCAGACAGTAAAGATGCGTTTAAAAAGACCTGGAACCCCAAGTTTACCCTGCGGAGCCACTACGACGGCATCCGGGCCTTGGTTTTCCACCACGTGGAGTCGGCCCTGGTCACGGCGTCCGAGGACGGCACTCTCAAGCTGTGGAACCTCCAGAAGACGGTGGCAGCCAAAAAGTGAGCGCTTCAGCCTATTTGTCAGCCAGCGCAGCCGGACGGCACCCAAATAGGTCAGGCCTTGGAGGCAGGAAAGCCAAAGAGCCCTTCGTGCTTGAAAGAGCACAGCGGCTTAGCCAGCAACCAATTATTATTTATCTGTGGGCTGTCTATCAAAGCTGAACTGCTGCTGCAAACCAGATCTCTCTGAGGAGGAAGGGGAAAATAGTCCAACACAGAGATTTTCTTTTCAGTGTGCAGAAGCAACCTGACTTTTTTTAAAATCTTCTCTTGTTTGTTATTACAGGAACGCGGCTTTGGATGTAGAACCAGTCTATGCATTCAGGGCACACAGGTGTGTATATCTCTCTGTGTGTCTGGGGTCTGCAAGGCTTATGGATATGATGTCTGACTTTAAAAAGGTCCTTTAATCTTTCCCAAACTTCAGCCACAATACTATTGGGTTGCAATTCCCATTATCTCCAGTCTGCATATCGGATAATGAAAAGCGATGTGAGTTATCATTTAATAACACCTGGGGATAAAAAAAAATCAAGGATCCCTGACCACTATGTAAATCTATGTGCATAATAAAAGTGAAGATAGGTATGTGGGGAAGGTGTTTACTTAAAAAAAAAGTTTGTTGCTGTGGACAAATTTTACTTACATTAAGAAGCTCTGGATTAAGAAACTTGTAAAAAGGTTCACAAACTGTGTATTGTTACATTTTGCTGTAAGAATTTGTTGTTTATACCACATAAGAAAAATAATTTTTGGTTTAGAGAATTGTATATCCACAATCTGATATGCAGGATGTATTTACATTCACTGGACCAAATTTGGCACAAATACCCAATACACCTAAATTTGAATACCGGTGGGGTTGGCGGGGATTGATTTTGTCATTTGGGAGTTGTAGTTGCTGGGATTTATAGTTAACATACAATCAAAGAGCATTCTGAACTCCACCAGTAATGGAACTGAACCAAATTTGGCACGCAGAACTCCCATGACCAACAGAAAATACTGGAAGGGTTTGGTGGACATTGACCTTGAGTTTGGGAATTGTAGTTCACCTACATCCAGATAGCCCCTTCCCTCCTGACCTTCAGAAAGTTGGTGAAAACCTGGCTCTGGAACCTGGCATTTGATGAGTGAGTCAATAACCCTTGACCACACGGACGGATGGTGATGAATTGTGATTTTATTCTGACGACTTGGCCTTATGTAATTATATGTTTGTATTTTAATGTGTTTTATATAGAGTTTTATAGGATGTGATGTTTTAACTATTGTGTATGAACTCCTCTGTTGTAAACTGGTGAGAAGACAGGTATATAAAAGTTCCAAATAAATAAATAAATAATTCCCCTAGGAAGGGGTGGAGTCAAACAATTGAGCTGGGGGAGCAAGCCAATTGATGTAAAACAACATTGATTGGCAGCTGTGGATAACCAATGAATTCAACTATACATTTATTTATTATTTTATTTATTTATTGAGAACTTTTATATACCAGTCTTCTCACCTCCGCAGACGGACTCAGGCCGGTTCACAACAACATCACAGACAATCATTTAAAAACATCATATCCCATAAAACACTAAAACATTAAAGTACTAAAATACTAAAATTTACAAGGTAGACAGGCAAGTCTGGACATGTTACAACAATTCAAACCTTTTCAACTTTTACGTACAGGTGGCGCCAGTTGCACCGTCACATATACCATATATACTCTAGTATAAACCGAGCCGAATATAAGCCGAGGCACCTAATTTTACCACAAAAAGCTGGAAAACTTATGGACTTGAGTATAAGCCAAGGGTGGGAAAATGCAGCAGCTACTAGTAAATCTATATAAATAAAAATGTAATGTTCGTTTGTGGGATTAACAGAACTCAAAAACCACTGGACGAATTGACACCAAATTTGGACACAAGACACCCAACAACCCAATGTATGTCCACTCAAAAAAATGATTTTGTCCTTTGGGAGTTGTAGTTGCTGGAATTTATAGTTCACCTAAAATCAAAGAGCATTCTGAACCCCACCAACGATGGAATTGAACCAAACCTGGGACACAGTTCTCCCATGACCAACAGAAAATACTGGAAGGGTTTGGTGGGCATTGTCCTTTCCTTTTGGAGTTATAGTTCACCTACATCCAGAGAGCACTGTGGACTCAAACAATGATGGATCTGGACCAAACTTGGCATGAATGCTCAATATGCCCAAATGTGAACACTGGTGGAGTTTGGGGAAATAGACCTTGACATTTGGGAGTTGTAGTTGCTGGGATTTATAGTTCACCTACAATCACAGAGCATTCTGAACCCCACCAACGATAGAATTGGGCCAAACTTTCCACACAGAAACCCCATGAACAACAGTAAATACTGTTTTCAGATGGTCTTTGGCGACCCCTCTGACACTCACTCACGACCCCTCCGGGGGTCCCGACCCCCAGGTTGAGAAACAGTGCTCTTAAAGAATCCCAGGATTGTCCAAAACCTGTGGTAAGAGAGGATCCCTGCTTTTCAAAGAGCCTTAGAGCCTTTTCCTTGTTGTTTCCTGCCAGGGGCCCAGTGCTTGCTGTCGCCATGGGTTGCAACAGCGAGTACTGCTACAGCGGCGGGCTGGACACGCGGATCCGCTGCTGGAGGATCCCGGATCTCAGCATGGACCCTTACGACGGTTACGGTAGGGGCACTTATCTCAGCAGCATCTCACCCTCTTGCATTCTTTGATCTGGAGTGGGAGAGAAACGAAGCAAGGGACATGTGTTGCATGTTGAGAATCGAAGCCAGATGGCAGGGGAGGCAGCAAGATGTATGTCAGTCGTGTCGAGCTTTTGCTCCTCCCAACTGTTTGTGACTCTAGCTCAGACATAAGCAAACTTTGTCCCTCTTGGGCCCTCCAGGTGTTTTGGACTTCAATTCTCACAATTCCAAAAGCAGGTAGTCTGTTAGGAATGGTGGGACTTGAAGTCCAAAACACCTGGAGGGACAAAGTTTGCCCAGGCCTATCCTGGAGTGTTAATGTGGCTGAGAGCTTTAGAGGAATGCAAAAAGGCAAACCTCCTCAGAACAGCTTTGCCAAATAGTGTAACTCATTTGCTAAATCGATCAATCAATAATAGTTTTCACTTCTGTCTTAAATAATGGATTTTAGATGTCATTTTGATGTTAGCCTAACTTGGGAAGAGCTCTATTTGAAAGGCTGGGCATGAATATGTAACATAACCATAATCATGAATAGATTATGGTGTTTTGGGGTCTGATATTGCAGTGCAAGACTATTTAAACATGATGCTGTTAAGATGGAGCTGTTCAAAAGTGGTGGTTCGTAAACTGGTCTTGATCTACAAGTGACATTTTGAGAAAAAGAAAGAAACAGTTGTAATCATGAAGTACAAATAGGGCATCAGGTCCTGACACATGGAGAAATAGGGGCAGAGAGAAGGAAGTCCACCAGCCTGTCACATTGAATTACCATATATACTCGAGTATATGTCGAGTTTTTCAGTTCTTTTTAAGCTGAAAAAGCCCACACAGCTTATAGTTGAATTAAGGTTATTTATTATTTTACTTTGTTATTGTCACAAACGCACAGTATGTCACACCAAACAAGATCTCTATGCTGGATTTCTTATCACAAAATCACAAGTCGAACACTTCCCAAGCGTCTAAGACTGTGTGATGTATTTTCGAATGATGTGCGCAGATCCAAGTCAGGTAGCCTTTTGCAGTTGACAGATCATGATTTTGTTGATGTTTATTGTTTCCAAATGCCGGCTGAGATCTTTTGGAATGGCACCCAGTGTGCCGACAACCACTGGGACCACCTGGACTGGTTGATGCCAGAGCCTTTGCAGTTCGATTTTGAGGTCTTGATAGTGGCTGAGTTTTTCCTGTTGTTTTTCCTCAATGTGACTGTCACCTGGAATGGCGACATCAATAATCCAGACTTTTTTCTTTTCCACAATCGTGATAACTGGTGTGTTGTGTTCCAAAACTTAGCCAGTCTGGATACAAAAGTCCCACAGTATTTTTGCGTGTTCATTTTCCACGACCTTTGTGGGTTTACGATCCCACCAATTCTTTACTGCTGGCAGGTGGTCCTTGTAACATAAGTTCCAGTGAATCATCTGGGCCACAGAGTTGTGCCTCTGTTTGTAGTCGGTCTGTGCGATTTTCCTGCAACAGCTGAGGAGATGGTCCATGGTTTCATCAGCTTCCTTGCACAGTCTGCATTTTGGGTCATCTGCTGATTTTTCGATCCTGGCCTTAATTGCATTGGTTCTGATGGCTTCCTCCTGGGCTGCAAGAATCAGGCCTTCTGTCTCCTTCAGGGTTCCATTCGTGAACCATAACCTGGTCTTCTTGTCAACTTTTCCTTTAATTTTGTCAAGGAACTGCCATGCAAGGCTTTATTGTGCCAGCTGTCAGCTCTGGCCTGGAGTGCAGTTTTCTTGTACTGACTCTTTGTCTGCTGTGCTTTGAGAAGTTTCCGATTATTGACTTCAGTTAAAGCAGGTTTTTGGCTTTCCTTGACATAGTCTGCCAGGGCATGTTTTCCTTCTTTAACTGCTTGTTTGACTTGTAAAAGTCCTCTGTCACCAGACTTTCTAGGCAGATAGAATGCAATGAATTATGAATAGTCATGAGTTTTCTATTATTATTACATGTATTATTTTACTCTTATTATTGCTATTATTATTATATTTCTAATATTTTACCCTATTATTATTATTACATTTATTATTTTACTATTTATTATTGGAAGGATACATAAGCACATTTACATTGAAGAAGGTTAGAATAGTATTTCAGTGGGAAAATTTGAAATATAAGGGCATTTTGAGTTAATAACTCAGTCCAGTAACAAACTCAAGTCGAGGTATCATTGTACTAATGTCAACTACTTGCAGAAGTGTCAACTTTTGCCTCCTTCATTGAGCTTAATGGTGGACCAGTGATGTTAACTTCCCTTTTCCCTTCCCTTCGTTTTCTTTTCTTTTCCTTCCTGTACACAGACCCCAGCATGCTTAGCAATGTTCTGGACGGCCACACGGATGCTGTTTGGGGCCTGGCCTTCAGCCCCTCGAAGAACCGCCTGGCCTCCTGCTCTGCCGACGGAACGGTCAGGATATGGGACCCCAGCAGCAGCGATGCCCCCTGCCTCAGCACTTACAACACGGAGAGTGGTGAGTAGCACCTTCAACGAGGCTGCCGGGGTTTGAATGTTCAGTGCATAAAAAAATTACGTTCTCAGAGTCTCCTGACTTGGAGCTGAAAACTGTTTTAACTTTTTTATTGTCAGAACTTCTAAATGTTCCCTAAATGCAAAATATCCCATCTGATATAAGCAAAGCAGGATTAGGGTGGGTTATTCTTTGTGTGGGGACCACCAATGAATTCCAAAGAATCTGCATTTTAGGGCAAGGCAATAGCAAGCCACTCTGAGTATTCCTTGTGGAAGAGAAACCCTTCTGATTTAGGGGGTTGTCTTAATAATAATGCCATATATACTTGAGTATAAACCAAGTTTTTTGGCCCTTTTTAAGACTGAAAAAGCCCCCCTCGGTTTATACTCGAGTCAAGCTTATTTATTCTTTTACTCTAAGTGTTTTTGTTATTATTATTATTACATTTACATTATTTTACTCTTATTATTATTACATTTATTAATTTACTTTATTATAATTATTACATTTATTAATTTACTTTATTATTATTGTTATTACATTTATTTTTAGTCTATTGTTATTACATTTATTATTTTAGTCTATTATTGTTATGACATTTATTTTTTTCTCTATTTATTGTTGTTATTACATTCTCATTCTTTTACTCTATTATTATTACATTTGTTATTTTACTCTATCATTACTACATTTATTAATTTACTTTATTAATATTGTTATTGCAATTATTATTTTAGTCTATTAGTGTTGTTATTACATTTATTATTTTACTCTATTTATTGTTATTACATTCCCATTCTTTTATTCTATTATTATTATTATATTTATTATTTTACTCTATTATTACTGTTATTATTACATTTCCATTATTTTACTCTATTATTTTATTACATTTATTATTTTACTCTTTTTTACTTTATTATTACTGTTATTATTACATTTCCATTATTTTACTCTATTATTATTTTATTACATTTATTATTTTACTCTTTTTTACTCTAGTATTACTGTTATTATTACATTTCTATTATTTTACTCTATTATTGTTTTTATTACATTTATTTTTTTCTCTTTTTTACTCTATTATTACTGTTATTACATTTCTATTATTTTACTCTATTATTATTTTATTACATTTATTATTTTACTCTTTTTTACTCTAGTATTACTGTTATTATTACATTTCCATTATTTTACTCTATTATTATTTTAATTACATTTATTATTTTACTCTTTTTTACTCTATTATTACTGTTATTACATTTCTATTATTTTACTCTATTATTATTTTTATTACATTTATTATTTTACTCTTCTTTTACTCTATAATTACTGTTATTATTACATTTCTATTATTTTACTCTATTATTATTTTATTACATTTATTGTTTTACTCTTCTTTTACTCTATAATTACTGTTATTATTACATTTCTATTATTTTACTCTATTGTTATTACATTTATTATTTTACTCATTATTAGAAGGATACATAGGCATATTTACATTGAAGAAGGTTAGAACAATGGTTTAATCAGAGTTGACAGTCTTAAATTCTTAAATTACAGTTTTATGTAAACATTCAAACATATTTAACCTACCGATACCTCAATTAATGTCATTTTATTAGTATCTGTTTTTATTTTGAAATTTACCAGTAGCTACTGCTTTTCCCACCCTCTGCTTACACTCAAGTCAATATGCTTTCCCAGTTTATTTGTGGTAAAATTAAGTGCCTCTGCTTATATTTGGGTCAGCTTATACTCGAGTAAATACAGTAATTATTATTAGTATTATTATTATTTGTATCCCGCTTTATCTCTCTAAAAAAGAGACTCTGGGTTACTTGAGAAATTGTTTAACTACGACTTCTGAACAACAAAAACCTTCCTTAAAAACAACTCAAAATAATTGATTAAAACAATCAATTCAGAGGCCATGCGAAGGAGTATAGTCCTGTCTATCTGTTGTGAGCCGAATTGCGATGGAACTTACTTCCTGTACAAACCACAGATGCCAGGCAGGTTCATTTGAGAAAGAGGCAATCTTTCCAGTAATCTAGCCCCAAGCTATTTAGGATTGTGTAGGTCATAGCAATAGTCTCATCCAGAGGCAATTAAGGGAGGGTCCACTGCGGCCAAGCCTGCATTCATTGCTGGCACATCAGCCAAACGTGGGCAAAAGCCAGCACTACTTCCTGGCCTTCCGGGAGCAGGGTCCAAGACCTGACCGTTCCGTAACCTTCTCCAATCTCTGCGCATGTCGTTCGATATTTGCATGAAGCTCTTCTTCCTCTCAAGCTCAGCTTCCCCGTTCCAGAAACGGGAATCACGGTGACAGTAGCAAATCAATAAAGGTTGCGTGACAGTTGTTGCCAGAAGGAAGTAGGTGTAGAAAGCAACCTTTGAACTGTGCCAAATCCGAACAGTAGGGGGAGCCCTTGTGTTGTTATTGTCTCAAAATGCGTTTTCATTGAGGGCCACATCCGCTGTTAGGAGTTGTAGGAGTTGAAGTCCAAAACACCTGAAGGGACAAAATTTTCCCATGCATGATCTATTATTATTAACTAGCCGTCCTCTGCCATGTGTTGCTGTGGCCCAGTCTGTGTATATGTGTTTTTTGTGTATATAAATGTGTGTTTGTGTATATACAGTACTGTATATAAGATTTCTGCCAGGTAACAATTTAACTTTGACTGTGTGGATCATAATAAATTGTGGCAAGTTCTTAGTGGGATGGGCATCCCAAGCCACCTTGTCTCTCTCCTGAGGAATCTGTACAAGGACCAAGGAGCAACAGTCAGAACTGACCACGGAACAACAGACTGGTTCAAGATTGGGAAAGGCGTACGGCAAGGCTGCATACTCTCACCCAACCTTTTCAACTTGTATGCAGAACACATCATGCGATGTGCGGGGCTTGAGGAATGCAAAGCTGGGGTGAAAATGGCTGGAAGAAACATTAACAACCTCAGATATGCAGATGACACCACTCTGATGGCACAAAACCGAGGAGGAGCTGGGGAGCCTTCTAATCAAGGTGAAAGAAGAAAGCGCAAAAGCCGGGTTGCAGCTAAACATCAAAAAAACCAAGATTATGGCAACAAGAATGATTGACAACTGGAAAACAGAGGGAGAAAATGTGGAGGCCGTGACAGACTTTGTATTTCTAGGTGCAAAGATTACTGCAGATGCAGACTGTGGCCAGGAAATCAGAAGACGCTTCCTTCTTGGGAGGAGAGCAATGTCCAATCTCGATAAACTAGTTAAGAGTAGAGACATCACACTGGCAACAAAGATCCGCCTAGTCAAAGCCATGGTATTCCCTGTAGTCACCTACGGATGTGAGAGCTGGACCTTAGGGAAGGCTGAGCGAAAGAAGAGAGATGCTTTTGAACTGTGGTGTTGGAGGAAAGTGCTGAGAGTGCCTTGGACTGCGAGAAGATCCAACCAGTCCATCCTCCAGGAAATAAAGCCCGACTGCTCATTGGAGGGAAGGATACTAGAGACAAAGCTGAAGTACTTTGGCCACATCATGAGGAGACAGCAAAGCCTAGAGAAGACAATTATGCTGGGGAAAGTGGAAGGCAAAAGGAAGAGGGGCCGACCAAGGGCAAGATGGATGGATGGCATCCTTGAAGTGACTGGACTGACCTTGAAGGAGCTGGGGGTGGTGACGGCTGACAGGGAGTTCTGGCGTGGGCTGGTCCATGAGGTCACAAAGAGTCGGAGACGACTGAACGAATGAACAACAACAGCCGTCCTCTGCCATGCGTTGCTGTGGCCCAGTCTGTGTATATGTGTTTTTTGTGTATATAAGTGTGTGTTTGTGTATATACAGTACCATATATACTCGAGTATAAGCCGATCCAAATATAAGCCGAGGCATCTAATTTTACCACCAAAAAACTTGGAAAACGTATTGACTCGAGTATAAGCCGAGGGTGGGAAATGCAGCCACTTCAGGTAAATTTCAAAATAATAATAGATACCAATAAAATTACATTAATTGAGGCATCAGGAGGTGAAATGTTTTTTTTAATATTTACATAAAACTGTAATTTGAGATAAGACTGCCCAACTCTGATTAAATCATTACATATCTTCAAAGTAAATGTATTTACGTATCCTTCCAACAATAATAAAGAGAGTAAAATAATAAATATAATAATAATAATAAAGTAATGGAAATGCAATAATAATAGTAATAATAGAGTAGAATAATAAATGTAATAATAGAGTAAAATAATAAATGCAATAATAATAAAGTAAAATAATAAATGTAATAATAATCATAAATAGTGTAAAATAATAAATGTAATAATAATAATAATAATAATAGGGTAAAATACTGTAAATGTAATAATAATAAAGAGAGTAAAATAATACATGAAATAAAAATAATACTAATAACAGAGTAAAATAATAAATAACCTTGACTCGAGTATAAGCCGAGGGGAGCTTTTTCAGCCTAAAAAAGGGGCTGAGAAACTAGGCTTATACTCGAGTATATACAGTATGTGGTTTTGCGCATGTATTGTAATGTGGTTTTTGGCTTTTGAACCCCCTTCTGCTGTGTTTTTAAGTGTTTTTATGAGTGATGGTCACTAATTTGGTGACAATTTGTCAGGTGGTTTTTGAGTTATGTTAATCCCACAAACTAACATTACATTTTTATTTAGATAGATTATTATTATTTATTTACAACATTTATATGCCGCCCTTCTCACCCTGAAGGGGACTCAGAGCAGCTTACAAGATACATACAATATATTATATTATATTTATAAATATTTTTATTAAAGTTTTGTCATATTGAGTATAAAGCATTAAGATAAAGAAAGAGAGAGAAAAAATAGATTATAGATTGAAAGTGGGAAAACATGTATTTGTATAGAAAGTAGGAAAATAGAAAAATGGTAAAATAAATAAATAAAAATAATTACAAATGGGTATATAAAAAAGTGTTTGTTGACTTCCTTCTTACTTCCGATGGTCCTTAAAAAATTATTTGGAATTACGTTTTGTTTAATCCACTTCCCCTCTGTCTACTTCTTCTCTAAGGATTGAGTAACTTCAACATATGAGGTCGATCTTCATCTGTTTTAAATAGCCTTTTACCAGGTCCCAGTTAGTATGTTTTTTACGTAGTCCTTTGATTAAGTGTAATGTTATATTATTAGCATAGTACAATATCAGTATTATATATTACTATATTGTACTATACCATTATATTGTAATATTATGAGTAATATTACATGTAATATAAAATATATAATATCATATTATTATTATTATTATTATTAGTAGTAGTAGTAGTAGTAGTAGTAGTAGTATTATAATAGATTAATACCTCCTTCCTCTTCCTCCTTTAGAGAATGGCATCCCTACATCCGTCACATTCTCCAGTACTGATCCAGCACATGCCGTGGCTGCTTTCCAGACAGGCTTTGCAGTCCTTTATGACGTGGAGACCTCCGTCCCGGTCCTGACACTGGAATCCAGACCGGCCAATGGTGAGTCCAAGCAGGGATCAAGCGAGCCGTGGGGCCAATGCCTGCATTTCTAGGACTGATTTAGTACAAGGAGAAGCAGGTAAACCTGTACAAAGGCCAAAAAAATCCTGGAAACATATTCATGGGACAATTTAAAAAAAATCCTTAAAACAGGAATGAACTTCAAGCCAGAACTTATATAGAGTTGCTGTGAGTTTTCCAGTCTGTATGGTTATGTTCCAGAAGCATTCTCTCCTGACGTTTCGCCTGCATCTGTGGCAGGCATCCCAGAGATTGTGAGACTGTTGGAAACTAGGCAAGTGGGGTTTATATACCTGTGGAATAATGTCCAGGGTGGGAGAAAGAGTCTGGGTTGTTGTAGGTTTTTTGGGCTATATGGCCATGTTCTAGAAGCATTCTCTCCTGACGTTTCGCCTGCATCTGTGGCAGGCATCCCAGAGATTGTGAGACTGTTGGAAACAAGGCAAGTGGGGTTTATATACCTGTGGGATAATGTCCAGGGTGGGAGAAAGAACTCTTGTCTGGGTTGTTGTAGGTTTTTCAGGCTATATGGCCATGTTCTATAAGCTCCCTCTGTTAGCCCCAGTTTCTGCCAACCTAGCAGTTCGAAAACATGCAACTGTGAATAGATCAATAGGTACCGACACGGAGACGCTCACGATAATGTTTTTAAGGCTTTGTACGTTTTTTTATATTCTTATATTGCACGCTAATGTTTTTAACGGTGTTTTATGATTGTTTTATTTGTTATAATTGCTGAGGCATCAAATTGTTGCCAATTGTGAACTGCTACGAGTTACCTCTGGGCTGAGAGGGGCGGTATATAAATGTGGTAAATAAATAAATAAACAAATAAATACTGCTTCTGCGGGAAGGTAACGGCGCTACATGCAGTCATGCTGGCCACATGACCTTGGCATTTATATATTAATATATTTCTATATTAAGCTCTTTGGCTTAGAAATGGTGATGAGCACCACACCCCAGACTGGACTTAATGTCAATGGGAAACCTTTACCTTTTTACTACTATTACATCCCATGCTCAGCCACTCCCAAGGGTGGTGTCTTTTCTTTATGAGATGCAGCTGCTAAAAGAAGAGAGGTAGTGTAAACAGGTGGTGTACCTCTACATCTTCACTATAGAGATTCAGTAGTTTAATCCCACTTTAAATTCCATGGCTCCCTCCTGCAGAAGCCTAGCACTTGCAGAGTTCCACTCTTTGTGAACTGCAGCATTAGAGCCATCACACAGAGGGTTCTAAGCTTCCCAGCAAACTACACATCCCAGGATTCCACAAGGCAGAGCCATGATCGTTTGTTTATTTATTTATTTATTTATTTATTTATTTATTTATTTATTTGTGACATTTATATGCCGCCCTTCTCACCCTGAAGGGGACTCAGTGTGGCTTATAAGATATATATTACATACAATATATTATATTATTAGCATAGTACAATATCAGCATTAAACATTGCTATATTGCACCGTACCACTATATCGTAATATTATTAGTAATATTACATGTAATATAAATATATAATTATAATGTCATGTATTATTATATTGCATTACATTATAATATTATAATATTATTTCATTACATTATTATCATTATTATATTATATCATATCGTTCTGATGAGGTTGCCTCCTGGAATGTGTGTGAGATGTTTTCAGCCCCATCTGGGCCAGTTTTGGAGAGGGGAGGCCCTCTTTTGAAACAGGAAGCAAACAGGATGTGACTTCTTCTCACATCCTGTTGTTTAAAAAAGTCCTCTTTTGGGCCTAAAACGACACGGGGAGGGCTTAAAATAAATGATGAAAATGCCCCTTGTTCCCTAGAGAGTATTTAGGGGCAATTTTTTTTTTTACACCGCACTCCAGGACCCCCTGGGGTGGGCTAATGTGTCTCCTTAAGTCTGTCACATTGCCCTCCTTGCCTTAAAACAATACTTCTGCAGCAGAGAGATGCTCCCTTTATGTTTAGTTGGTGCAAGTGGTTTTAGCTGTAAGCAGAGTTTCAGGAGGTTATTGAAGCTTAGTTTGACATTGACATGTGATTAGTTAATCAAGAGTATCCCTTTATAACTATTCCAAAAAATATTTTGTGCCATGAATGACAAAAGTTAGCTTTTGGATATAGAATCCTAGAGTTGGAAGAGACCTCATGTTGGAAGAGACCATCCAGTCCAACCCCATTCTGCTAAGAAGCAGGAAAATCGCATTTAAAGCACCCCCAACAGATGGCCATCCACCCTCTGTTTAAAAGCCTCCATAGAAGGAACCTCCACCACACAGTTCTTCCTCATGTTCAGGTGGAATCTCCTTTTCTGTAGCTGAGAGTTCCACTGCTGAACATCTCCCACAGTCAGGAAGTTCTTCCTAATGTTCAGGTGGAATCTCCTTTTCTGTAGCTGAGAGTTTCACTGCTGAACAGCTCCCACAGTCGGGAAGTTCTTCCTCATGTTCAGGTGGAATCTGCTTTGCTGTAGCTGAGAGTTCCACTGCTGAACGGCTCCCACAGTCAGGAAGTTCTTCCTCATGTTCAGGTGGAATCTCCTTTTCTGTAGCTGAGAGTTCCACTGCTGAACAGCTCCCACAGTCAGGAAGTTCTTCCTTATGTTTAGATAGAATCTCCTTTCCTGTGGCTGAGAGTTCCACTGCTGAACCGCTCTCACAGTCAAGAAGTTCTTCCTAATATTCAGGTGGAATCTCCTTTCCTGTGGCTGAGAGTTCCACTGCTGAACAGCTCCCACAGTCAGGAAGTTCTTCCTCATGTTCAGGTGGAATTTCCTTTCCTGTAGTTTGAAGCCATTGCTCCATTGTGTCTAGTCTCCATGGAAGCAGAAAACAAGCTTGCTCCCTCCTCTCTGTGACTTCCCCTCACATATTTATACATGGCTATCATATCTCCTCAGCCTTCTCTTCTGCAGGCTAAACATCCCCAGCTCTTTAAGCTGCTCCTCATAGGGCTTGTTCTCCAGACCCTTGATCATTTTAGTCACCCTCCTCTGGACACATTCCAGCTTGTCAATATCGCTGCCAGAATCCTCAACCAGTGCCATTATTGACCGTATTGCTTGAGTGGAGCCCCCGGTGATGCAATGGGTTAAACCCTTATGCCGGGCAGGACCAATGACCTGAAGGTCGGCGGTTTGAATCCAGGGTGCGGGGTGAGCTCCCATCTGTCAGTTCCAGCTTCTCACACAGGGACATGAGAGAAGCCTCGCACGGGATGGTAAAACATCTGGGTGTCCCCTAGGCAACGTCCTTGCAGACGGCCGATTCTATCACACCAGAAGCGACTTGCAGTTTCTGAAGTCACTCCTGACACACAAAAAAATATTGCTTGAGCATTGTAAAGTGTATTGTTGTAAGTCTTTTCGGGCTATACGGCCATGGTCTAGAGGCATTCTCTCCTGACGTTTCGCCTGCATCTATGGCAAGCATCCTCAGAGGTAGTGAGATCTGTTGGAAGTAGGCAAAAGGGTTTATATATCTGTGGAATGACTAGGGTGAAACAAGGGACTCTTGTCTGCTGGAGCTAGGTGTGAATGTTTCAACTGACCACCTTGATTAGCATTTGATTGCCTAGCAGTGCCTGGCGCAATCTTTTGTTGAGAGGGGATTAGATGTCCTTGTTTGTTTCCTGTCTGTTGTTGTGCTGTTCTAATTCGACAATACATTGTAAAGTGTCTTTTCCAAAGTCTGGGTGTAGAATTCCTTGTTTTTCCTTGTATTTCCAAATACAAATCGAAGTATAGATTTGTGGTACAGCTTCTCTGATGGGTTGCCTTGCTCTTTTCACCAAGGAAAGACTCAAATGAGGCTCAAATTCTCCCTTTCTTTTCCCCTCGGGCAGGAGCCAGTCAGATCAACCAAGTGGTGAGCCACCCAAACCAGCCAATCACCATCACGGCCCACGACGACCGGGGGATCCGCTTCCTCGACAATCGGACAGGTAGGAGAGAGCTTGAGAGGGGTTAATGCAGGTTTGTTGTTTCTACCTCCTTTTGAGATATTTAAAACACCATTCTTTGGCTCCTTGAGAAGATTCCTATCTCAGCGGTGCGGTTTCCCTTAAATGCTGACGTCCTGCATTTGCTCTGAAATGCGTAGTAAATAATCCCTTCCTCTTTTCTGCAGGGAAAGCTGTGCATTCCATGGTGGCGCACCTGGATGCCGTCACCTGTCTTGCGGCGGATCCCAACGGCGTTTTCCTTATGTCAGGAAGTAAGTCATAGAATAATAGAGTTGAGAGAGACCACATGGGCCATCAAGTTCAACCCCCTGTTATGCAGGAACAGCACAATCAAAGCATCCCCAACAGATGGCCATCCAGCCTCTGTTTAGAAGCCGCCGAGGAAGGAGGAAGTCCTGTCTCTTCTTGGCTTTATATCCAGAGAGATTTCCCTGGCATTGTTCTCTCTCTTGGCCCTTTTGAACATACAGTTTGACCCTTTGTGACAAGGAATGAATGAGCAACTTGTTTGTAATATACTGCAGCAAATGTGGGCAAACGTTAATAATATAATAATTGTATATTATAATTATAATTATAATATAATATAATATAATATTATTATATATTATATTATTATATATTATAATATTATCAATGCTATTGCAATATAGTGATATAGTACAATATAGTAATATACAATACTAATATTATGCTATGCTAGTAATATAATATATTGTATGTACATATAATACTGATCATAATATTGTAATACAATATAATACAATAGAATAATTGTATTTATTACATGTAATATTGCTAATAATATTGCAGTAGAGTGGTATAGTACAATATAGTAATATACAATACTAATATTATGCTATGCTAGTAATATAATATATTGTATGTACATATAATACTGATCATAATATTGTAATACAATATAATACAATAGAATAATTGTATTATATATTACATGTAATATTACTAATAATGCAGTATAGTTGTATGTATAGTAAAATGTAGTAATATATAATACTAATATTGTGCTGTGCTAATAATACAATATATTGTATGTACATGTAACATTTATTATAATAACAATAGAGTATAATACTACTAATAATACAATATAGTAATATAATAATGATATTATATATATTACATGTAATATTACTAATAATATTGCAGTAAGGTATAGTACAATGTAGCAATATATAATACTAATATTACAATATATTGTATGTACATGTAATATAATACTAATAATACAATATATTTTATGTACATGTAATATAATACTAATATTACAATATATTGTACATGTAATATAATACTAACAATACAATATATTGTATGTAATAATATATTACATACAATTTATTACATGTAATATATATATATAATATATATATTACATGTAATATTACCAATAATATTGCGGTATAGTGGTATAGTACAATGTAGTAATATATAATACCAATGTTGTGCTATGCTAATAATACAATATATTGTATGTACATGTAATATTGATTATAATATTATAATACAATACAATATAATACTACTAATAATACAATATAATAATGATATATATATTACATGTAATATTCACTAATAATATTGCGGTATAGTGGTATAGTACAATGTAGTAATATATAATACTAATATTGTGCTATGCTAATAATACAATATATTGTATGTACATGTAATATTGATTATAATATTATAATGCAATACAATATAATACTACTAATAATACAATATAATAATATTATATATATTACATGTAATATTACTAATAATATTGCGGTATAGTGGTATAGTACAATGTAGTAATATATAATACTAATATTGTGCTATGCTAATAATACAATATATTGTATGTACATGTAATATTGATTATAATATTATAATGCAATACAATAAAATACTACTAATAATACAATATAATAATATAATGATATTATATATATATTACATGTAATATTACTATTAATATTGCAGTATAGTGGTATAGTACAATATAGTAAAGTATCATAGTAATATTGTGCTATGCTAATAATATATGGCATGTACCTGTAATATGGGGGGGTGTGATTTTGATTGTGATTTATAGTTCACCAAAATCAAAGAGCATTCTGCACTCCACCAATGATGGAATTGAACCAATCTTGGCACACAGAATTCCCATCACCAATAGTAAATACTGGAAGGATTTGGTGGGCATTGACCTTGAGTTTTGGAGTTGTAGTTCACCTACATCCAGAGAGCACTGTGGACTCAAACAATGATAGATCTGGACCAAACTTGGCCACGAATTCCCAGTATGCCCAAATGAGAACACTGGTGGAGTTTGGGGAAAACAGACATTGACATTTGGGAGTTGTAGTTGCTGGGATTTATAGTTTACCTACCATCAAAGAGCATTCTGAACCCTACCAATGATTGAATTGGGCCAAACTTCCCACACAGAACCCCCATGACCAACAGAAAATACTGTTTTCTGATGGTCTTTGGTGACCCCTCTGACACCCCCTTGCGACCCATCCAGGGGTCCCGACCCCCAGGTTGAGAAACTCTGTAGTAGAGAGTCCTCACGTAACTGGATTCTGTGTATCTTTAAACCAACTTTGAGACAATTCCAACATGACTTTATATATCTCTGTGTTATGTGGTTCTTTGGTCTAACTTAAATACAATTCCGACGTGACGTGTTGTTTTACTCTACTATATATATAGCTCCAACGTGACATGAATACAATCCTGACGTGACGTGAATTTCCTATGCTTCCTTCCAGTGCTAAACACTAACTGGCGAATCTTAAACTGACCAAATAACTGCCATTCCAAAGCCAGCAGGAGCCGAGGCCGAGCTCCACCCAACTCCCAGATCCTTAAAGGGCCAGGGCAGTAGGTTAGAGCTTTCTGGTGGCACGACATTTATTTATTTATTTATTTACCTTACTTATATACCGCTGTTCTCAGCCCGAAGGCGACTCACAGCGGTTCACAACAAATACGAACAGCAAAAATTCAGTGCTACAGTATAAAAACAGTTAACAACCTAACACATTACACAATTAATAAACAGTTACTACAATACCCATTCACTGTCGCCTCGTCATCAAAAACATGTTCCAGATTCGTCATCCATTGTTCCATTCCAGTGTTCATTAACCAATCATTGCACTAATTATTCGAACGCCTGCTCAAACAGCCAGGTCTTCACTTTTTTGCGGAATACCATTAGAGATGGTGCTAGTTTAATGTCGGTAGGAAGGGCGTTCCACAGCCGAGGAGCCACCACCGAGAAGGCCCTATCTCTCGTCCCCGCCAGCCGTGCTTGAGAAGCAGGCGGGATCGAGAGCAGGGTCTCCCCGGAAGATCTCAAAGTCCTGGTGGGTTCATAGGCAGAGATGCGGTCAGATAGGTAGCTTGGGCCAGAACCGTTTAGGGCTTTAAAGGCCAACGCCAGCACTTTGAATTCAGCCCGGTAGCAGATCGGTAGCCAGTGGAGTTGGCGCAACAGGGGGGTTGTATGCTCCCTGCGCTCCGCTCCTCTTAAAATCATGGCTGCCGAGCGTTGGACTAGTTGGAGCTTCCGAGCTGTCTTCAAAGGCAACCCCACGTAGAGAGCGTTGCAGTAGTCTAAACGGGATGTAACCAGAGTGTGGACTACCGTGGCCAAGCCAGACTTCCCAAGGTACGGGAACCTGGGGTTCCAGGCTCGGCGATGAGTCCAGGGTCACACCCAAGCTGCGAACCTGCGTCTTCAGGGGGAGTGCGACCCCATCCAACACATTGCCCTTTGGTTCCTCTCTTCCAGGCCACGACTGCTCCCTCCGGCTGTGGAACCTGGACAACAAGACCTGCACGCAGGAGATCACCGCCCACCGGAAGAAGCACGAGGAGGCCATCCACGACGTGGCCTTCCACCCCAGCAAGGCCCTGATCGCCAGCGCCGGGGCCGACGCCCTCGCCAAGGTCTTCGTATGAGGGAAGGGCGGGGCCTGCAGGTAAGCCACGCCTAGGGGGTGGGGCAGGGAGCCGCCCAGCGAGGGCCCTCCTCTTCACCACAGGGTCTCTCTTGTGTCTCCCGCCAGGTGTGTCCCCAGGACCTCCTCCTTTGTTCTGTCCCTCCCTCCCTTCCTCCCTTCCGTCTTTCTCTGGCCCAGCCAGTGGTGCTAACAACCCTCCTCCTGGCCACGGGGCGCCTCTTGCCATCTCGACCCCTGCTCAGGACTGACCCCTGCTGGACAGTGGCGGCCGAGTCTCCGCGACCGGGGGAAAGGAGGGGGGAAAAGCAGCCGCCCGCTTCCCTGATGACATTGGGGCTCACCTTCACCAGCACTGAAATATTTTCCACTCATTTCAAGGTCGCCTGGTTTTTATTATTTCCCAGCTCAGGGAGCGGAAGAAATATTTCTTTTCTTTTTTTGTCCTCTGGATTGTTTGGAGGGATGTCGATGGAGGAGGAGGAGGAGGGAGCGGAGACTCTGTGACATGGCAAAGGGCTTCGGGCAGCTCCCCCAAACTTTTCCATTTTGACATCCACAAACCTTGGAGGTTTTTTTGTTACGAGCACCCCAAAGTGAACATTAAAGAGAGCCATACGTACGGACTCTTTCCCGTCTCTCGATCCCGGTGGTGTTCCTTTCGCAAAGCCAAAATGAGGGACAGCGAATGCAATTGGAGCGACGGCTCCCCATCCCGTTGGGGGGCTCTTGCGCTCATCCGTTGTGGCTGAAGAAAGTCCAGCGTCGTTTTGACTCCTTGTGATGGAGGAGAGACTCAATCTTAGCGCCGCTCAGTGTCCCCTTGCTCCCCTTCTTTGTGCTCCCCGGAGTTTCTCGTTCCTTTTTCCCCCTCCCCTTGACTCCCAAGGCATGTCCGCACCGAACATTCCCCTTCTGCAGCAAAGGAGGAAAGAGCTTGGAGGGTGTTTGGGATGTCGTTACCTCCCCTTTGACCCCTTTGCTTCCAGATACGTTACCTTGGCCTCTGCCCCACGTCTGTCCTTATTTTGAAAACAAAACAAAGGAAGGGGCTGCAACAATAGGTCAGTGAACAGGTGAGCCATTGAGGAGCGACAGGTGAGACCATAACTCCCTATTCAACGTGTCTAGGAATCATAAAGTTGGGATTTTTGGGGGGAAATAGCATTAAGCCAAGTGGAGCTGATTCTTCACGAATTAGGAAGAGTTTGGAGCCATAACATCCACACCTTCCGTTCACAGTTTGGTCTCTTCAATTGGGATTTGCAGATCTTGCTTCTGGTCACACCTTGAGGTTAGGAATGCACAAATTAGGAAGAGTTTGGAGCCATAACATCCTGCATCCCCTCACCTTCCGTTCACAGTTTGTCTCTTCGATTGGGATTTGCAGATCTTGCTTCTCATCACACCTTGAAGGTTAGGAACGCACCAGTTCCGCGATCCACTGATGGAATATAGGTCAAACTCTTTGGAGAAGGTGGACTGGTTCAGAGTCCAGCAAAACCCCATCTCAGCAATAAATAAATGTCGTCTTTTCTCCTGGAGCCAAGGACAGAGAACCAGCTGAAAAGCAAACAGAGCTGGCCATGAATTCTGGGTTTGGGGCAGTTTTGGGACACTGAATTAAACGATGTGGTTCTCACAGGAATTTCTCTCAAAAGGTTCAAGTCTGAAGCAATGGCTTCATGCGTCAAAGTGTGCGGCCCTCGAGAGCCAGGGGTCTGGAGCTTGGTGCTCCTTTCCCCCCTCAAATATGTGGATATTTTTTGGGTGGGCGGGTTGATTATGTATGTTTTCTAATATTATTTTTTTCCTTTCTTATCTGTGGTGTAACTTAACCCTGCAGTTGGCAATCCTTACCAAAAAAAAAAAAAACACTAAAATTTTGAGAAGACAATGAAAAGAAGTGTTGGATTGGCCGGGCGGGGTTGAACTTCAGCTTATCCTCCTGTGCAGATTGGATGGTTAAGGGAACGGTCACTTACGTATGTGGGATGAAGTTGGGCTTTTCTCGGCAGCGACGGCAACTTTTTGGGACTAGCCGGAGCGCCGTTGAAGCCTTTGAAACAGAGGGCGGCGTTTCCAAGTCAAAACGGTTTGGGGAAGGGTCTCGTTTTGCCTCCCACCTTCAGGATGGCAGAGCTTCCTTCTCCATTGCTTTTTGCGCTGAATCCGCCCATCTGAAATTCGGGCTGGAAGATCCCCTTGCGTTGGGCTTTTCTCGGCAGCGACGGCATCTTTTTGGGACTAGCCGGTGTGACGTTGAAGCCTTTGAAACAGAGGGCAGCATTTCCAGGTCAAAACGGTTTGGGGAAGGGTCTCGTTTTGCCTCCCACCTTCAAGATGGCAGAGCTTCCTTCTCCATCACTTTTGCGCTGAATCCACCCCTCTGAAATTCGGCCTGGAAGATCCCGTTGCGTTGGGCTTTACTCGGCAGCGACGGCATCTTTTTGGGACTAGCCGGAGCGCCGTCGAAGCCTTTGAAACGGAGGGCGGCGTTTCCAAGTCAAAACGGTTTGGGGAAGGGTCTCGTTTTTCCTCCCATCTTCAAAATGGCAGAGCTTCCTTCTCCATCACTTTTTGCGCTGAATCCACCCATCTGAAATTGGGGCTGGAAGACCCCCTGGCGCTCCTTTTCCTTCTCACCTTCGGAACATCCTTCTTAGCCGCGAAAGGCTTTTTGTTCATTGCCGTTCGAGGATAAATCTGGACGAGGATTCGATTTCCGAAGGTGGCCTAACAGTGGGACGTTTCCTTCAATCGTCTTTTATATCCTCCCCTTGTTGCCATCGCTCCCAGATTTTTCAGAAAGCCAAGCTTCTCTTTCCTTTTCCCGTTGTATATTCTGTGTATAGTACAATTTGAAAATAAACCGAAAACTCAAGAAAAGCACCCAAAAAAGGGCTGGCGTTGAAATAACCGCGATCGCGTTATCACTGTGTGATAGTTTCTACGAGCCATGGCCTTTTTTCAAAACCCAAGTACTCAAAAGTGGAGCTCAAATAGGGACGTAAACGGAGAGGGAGCTTGTGAAAACTCGGATCGGACGCTCATCGCCTTCCCCTTCGATCTGCCGCTGACCACTAGCCACTTTCCGAAACCTTTCGGTCCGATTCCCCTCCCTTCCTTTGCACCCCTTTCGATCCCGATACATATTTCTGTGCTGTATTTATCCAGACTGAGAGCACTCCTGCCTTTTTTTTTTAAAAAAAAAGAAACGAAACGCCCGGTTAGCTTTTTATTGTCTATTTATTTGAACGCTGTCTTCTCTTTTTTATTTTCGTCCTCTTTAATCACAAGACTGAAGTTGTATGTGGGACAAAACCTGCCTCAGTAATAATATTAATTAATTAATTATTAATAATAATAAAAAAAGAATCCTTTGGAATAAGAGTGGAGTTTGCTTTTTGTTTTTCCTAATAGTGCTCTGTGAAGTCATGCTGACCACATGACCTTGGAGGTGTCTGTGGACAATGCTGGCCCTTTGGCTTAGAAATGGAGATGACCACTGACCCCCAAAGTCGGACACGATTGGACTTAATGTCAGGGGAAAAACTTGACCTTGACCTTGTGACATTTAAGCCAGTGTTTCTCAACTTTAATGCCGTGATCTCTTAATACAGTTCCTCATGTTGTGGTGACCCCCAACCATAACATTATTTTTCTTGCTACTTTATAGCTGTAATTTTGCTACTGTTCTGAATTTTAATGTACCCATATTTATTTATTTATTTATTTATTATTTAAACTTATATGCCGCCACTCCCCTGGGGCTCGGAGCGGCTTACAAGACTAGCTAAAATCTAACAAAATTTAAAAGCAATTTAAAACAATTTAAAAACAGTAATATCAGACATTAAAAGCCTGTCGAAACAGGTATGTCTTACATGCCCTGCGGAAAGCTGTTAAGTCCCGCAAGGCACGGACTTCAGGTGGCAGAGTATTCCAGAGTGATGGTGCCACTGCTGTGAAGGCTCTGCGTCTGGTTGCTGTTAGACGCAAGGTCTTGACACTGGGATTTTCCAACAAATCTTGGTCCTCAGAACAGAGGGATCTCTGGGGTTGGTAGAGGGTGAGGCAGTCCCTCAGATACATCGGCCCCAGACCATGCAAGGCCTTAAAGGTGAGTACCATCACTTTGAAAGTGATCCGGTGCTCAATTGGTATTATATTCCGGCATATAAGACGTCTTGGCGTATAAGATGACCCCCAACTTTTCCAGTTAAAATATAGAGTTTGGGATATACTCACAGTATACTCACTACCCCTCTTCCAATGCACACCAAATAAAAATGTTAAAAGCATCAGATTTGATTTCAATATGTCGATTTTTCTATTACTGTACCTCCTTCTCTGCCTCTCAGATCTCGCACATGCACCACTTCACTGCAGTCTTCAGGAGCGAGATCTGCAAGGCAGAGGAGGAGGTGCAGTAATAGGATACAAGGGCGGGCCAGACAGGTAAAAGAGGTGTGCTTTTCTCTTTTTTCCATACACCGGGTGCCCCTGGATGCCTGCAGCTTGCTCCACCCTTCACTTACACCTTCCCCATGAGATGCCCCTTCACCTCACCATCAGGACCGCATTAAGTCCACGAATCCCGATGAATGGATTTTCTTTTACCATACTTGTATAGTGTCACCCTTAATGCTTTCATACAGTTGCTGCATACAGCAGGGATGCGCTCACTGCCATTTTTGAGTTCTCCCCACAATATGCAGCAACCACAGAGTCTCCAATCCAGATTGGAAGTGTCAGCACCCGCTCTATAAGATGACTCCCGCCATATAAGACTACTCCCATGCATAAGGCTACTCCAGCGTATAAGACTACTCCAGTGTATAAGACTAATCCTGCGTATAAGACGACCCCTGACTTTTTAGAAGACTTTCTTGGGTTAAAAAGTAGTCTTATACGCCAGAATATATGGTAAATATCTGATAGGCAGGATGTATTTTCATTCACTGGACCACATTTGGCACAAATACTCAATACGCCCAAATTTGAATACTGGTGGGATTGGGGGGGATTGATTTTGTCATTTGGAAGTTGTAGTTGCTGGGATTTATAGTTCGCCTACAATCAAAGAGCATTCTGAACTTCACCAACGATGGAATTGAACGAAACTTGGCACAAAGAACGCCCATGACCAACATAAAATACTGGGTTTGGTGGGTATTGACCTAGAGTTTGGGAGTTGTAGTTCACCTACATCCAGAGAGCACTGTGGACTCAAACAATGATGGATCTGGACCAAACTTAGCACAGATAGTCAATATGCCCAAATGTGAACACTGGTGGGGTTTGGAAAAAATAGACCTTGATATTTGGGTGTTGTAGTTGCTGAGATTTATACTTCACCTACAAACAAAGAGCAATCTGAACTTCACCAGCGATGGAATTGAACCAAACTTGGCACAAAGAACTCCCACAACCAACAGAAAATACTGGGTTTGGTGGGTATTGACCTAGAGTTTTGGAGTTGTAGTTCACCTACATCCAGAAAGCACTGTGGACTCAAACAATGATGGATCTGGACCAAACTTGGAATGAAAACTCAATATGCCCAAATGTGAACACCAATGGAGTTTAGGAGGGCGGAATAGATCTTGGCATTTGGGAGTTGTAGTTGCTGAGGTTTATAGTTCACCTACAGTCAAAAAGCATTCTGAACTTCATTAATGAAGAGGCTAGATGGCATCTGTGGGGGGTGCTTCGAATGCGATTTTCCTGCTTCTTGGCAGAATGGGGTTGGACTGGATGGCCCACGAGGTCTCTTCTATCTGTATAAATAAAAATGTAATGTTTGTTTGTGGGACTGGCATAATTCAAAAACCACTGGACGAATTGCCGCCAAATTTGGCTACAAGATACTTACTAACCAAAGGAGTGACCATCACTAAAAAAAATGATTTTGTCATTTGGGAGTTGTAGTTGCTGGGATTTATAGTTCACCTACAATCAAAGAGCATTCCAAACTCCACCAATGATGGAATTGAACTAAACGCGGCACACAGGACTCCCATGACCAACAGAAAATACTAGAAGGGTTTGGTGGGCATTGACGTTTAGTTTGGGAGTTGTAGTTCACCTCCATCCAGACAGCACTGTGGACTCAAACAATGAAGGATTTGGACCAAACTTGGCACCAATATTCCATATGCCCA